ACGGACCATAAACGTATTTAAGCCATCAAGTTTAATTTTGATCCTGTTTGCATTGAGAGAATCCATAATCACCATCTCGTCTGTCGTTATGGTGAAAGCCGTCCCTCTTTGGAGAAGAGGAGCCGCTTCTTCCAGCCCTGGGTGAATTCTGTCGCCTGTCGCTCTTTGACTTGGCTACAAAAAGAAAGAAAACAAAACATCTGAAAATGTGAAAGCGACTTAGAAGACAAAGTATCCTCCACACAAATCAAAACCAGCATATCAATTACCAAATATGGGCACCTGACACACGGTCATGGTTTCATCTTTGTGCATCTCTTCAGTGTACGGCCGAACGGCTGCAAAGACGTCAAATTATGAGATATCCCACCAGGAAAAACATGATAGAAGTATAATAAAACGCTCATGAAAACTCATCGTACACAGCTTGATGTCCTCCAGAGGGCCAGAAAAGGACTTGATGGCGTGCAGGTAATTCTTCTGTAACATGAAAAAATGTTGCATAAAATGTTTCTGCAGCTGACTGTAAGATATTTAGTTTCTTACCAGCTGTGGCGGTCCAGAAAGCACACACTCAGGAACGCCGGTGTCTTTTAAAGTTAATATCATCCCTGAAATACATAGGAGATTCAAAAAAAGGTTATCTAATTTGTCTGCACCAGCAACACCGAGTCAAATTCCTTCTAAGTGCAACCCTGCTTGGCAATAAACTGGATTCTGAGTGATGATTAAAAAACAGGGACAGAAATTTCTCCTAAAACCCAAAAACAGCTTGTTAGAGCAGTTTGAAATGCAAAGCTGGTATTTTTGTTCATGTACGTAATCCAAACTGCCGGCACCAGGATAATAAAAGTGACCTGCCGGCAGGTTTCTACATTTTAAGTTAATTTAGGCGTTAATAAACTGTTTTAGTGGAGTGATAATGGTGATTGGTATCATCAGCGATGTGTCTGTCTCCCTGCCAGCTCCCAGATCAGCTTCTCTGATTGGTTGATGTGGCGCATCGAGCAGCTAAAGTTCAATTTTTCCAACTCCAGCAGCTTCTGCGTTTACAGCGCGTCCCGTGCCTCAGATGCTCAGGTCATGCTGCTTCAGCTGCTCAGACGCGCTGCAGGACCTTCTGCTGCGCCTTGATGCGCGTCAACCATTGACTTTGCATGTAAACTAGCTGCTCCTGCTTTTGGTGTGAATGTAGCATTAGAAATCTATCCAGCCATACATTTTCTGACACGCTTATCCCGCATCTCCAGCTGTCTACGGGCGAGAGGACAGATCTTATCTTTGCCAATTAAAAAGCCCGGAATTGTAGCTGCATTTAGAAAACAAAAGCAGCAGAATCAAATAAACTTCCTCTTCAGTTTTTCTATCGAGACAAGTGAACCATGGCATCAGATCGGAATCGACCTCTGACCTGATAAGCCTCCCACGTTCTCCCAGCTCAGTCGGGTCAGGAAGATGTTGTCGAGCCGAGCAGCCTTCAGCCTGCCAAATTGAAACACCGTGTTAAAGTTGGTTACCGGATCCTGGAGCCGAGCGGAGATAAAGACGAGGTTAAAGGCTGCTTACTTATGTTCCTGCATGAGTCTCTGAGTTCCTTCTCCACAATTGAAGAGATACCTGCAACACAGAGGTGAAAACACATGGAAGTGTTTATTTACATAAAAATTTAAATAGGAAAAAATAATACATGGGGCAAAACTGATCACATACAATTCTTTTGTATTTCTATATACTCTAGTTTATTTGTTTTATCTAATTCACTAGGGCTTCATTAAAAAAAAAAATAATATAAAAAGAAACTTTTCAATTTTGAATAAGTTCTCATATTAACTCTTAACTATCAATTATTAAAAACCAGAAAACTAAAAAGCATTTTTCACTGTCTTTACAAACGGTATTGACTAATAGTACTGTGATGATATGGTGTTGAATGTTCATATAATACCAGTATGCTGTGATGGATAGATTAGTAATACCAGTATGATGTGATGGATAGATTAGTAATACCAGTATGCTGTGATGGATAGATTAGTAATACCAGTATGCTGTGATGGATAGATTAGGCCAGTATTGATACTGTCACTGTTTTGCTCTATACGGACACCCGCTGGATATCCTACACTATTGCATCAGATACAGATTTGAGTACTTGATGTAAACCATAATTTGATTAGTGGTATAGCATGTTGTATTATTTTATAACTCAATTAAAATGATTAAGTTTAAAATATCTTTGATCTTTTTTAAGAAAATATGGTAAATATGCCATTATGTGAAAATGAAAGGGAAAGTTTAGTGGATGTGATGTTGCTCATTGACTTGCAGATGATACAAGAGGATTCGTTTTATAAAGATCTTTTACTAAAAGAATAAAGCTTTCATAGTTCTGGCATTTAGGTGTTCTGTTTTCCAGACACACTGTACCTTTGACACTTTGACTAATTATCTTAAGTATTTTTTGTGTACTTAAAAAACACTGTATTTGAGGGAGCACAGGTGTAACTTTCTGAGGGAATGATGTGGATATGTCCCCACCAATAATTTCCGCATTTTTTCCCCTTTCCGCTCATTTACTTTAGCCAAAGGTAACATGATTGCAGCTGTCTGTGTTCAGAGCATTTTCAGTCCGTGTTTTTCTTCCTCTATCGTGCTGCTCTCACGTCCCGCCTCTCGGTGTAACATCATCGGATCTGTCACTTTGAGTCATTTGATTTGAGGTCACATTTCGCTGCGTACAAAGTAGCTACGTGGTTGGAGGAGAGACACACAGCAGCATTAAACTGGAGCCACTTCGATAGATGTTTAAGTAAAAGTTAGGAGACGGGTTGGTTAAGAAAAATTTGACATCATGCCATCGAAAAATCTGATCATTAGACATATGGAGCTTTTTCAGATAGAAAAGGCAACATATTGTAAGTTTATACAAATTAGTAATATAATGCAAGAAGCTTGAGAAAACAGTTTTTTATTCTTTACTAGTTATAAAAGCTTGACTTCTCAGAGGACCATGACTCCCAGTTATAGGTTAAAATTAACACTTTTTCTTATTTAACAGACAGAATCAGACTACAGAGCTTCTACATATCTTGAAGTTTAGTTTCTCATTAATTAATCTTTTTAAAGAGAGAAGGAGGAAAAAGGGAGAGCTGCAAATTTAAAGGTAAAACAGATTTACTGGGATATGCAACATGCAAAAAAATCTATTTCCAAGTTTACAAGAAAAAGATATGCTATGCTATATTTAAAATGCAGCATATCCATAGTTTTCTGGATGGATGGAATTGAAATTGTACAATCTAGGGATGTAATATATAAATGTTTGAATCATAATTGGCTGGTATTCATTATTTTTAATACATTAATGTTTTAGGTCATATATATATATATATATATATATATATATATATATATATATATATATATATATAATGCTCTAAAAGGCATCTCTCTTAACTATCAATAAATATAAATATGAGTGTATTATGGTACTCATGTGTTGTCAACAATAGGAAAGCATTCAATAAATATATATTTGAGCTCATTTTTGGAAAATACTAAAACCTAATGAAGGGGTTTGGGTGGAGTAACTGTAGGTCCATCAGCCTCCACCCTTAGAGTGTCACCAACTTCCATTACAAAGTTACACCCTTGATCAAATGCAAACAATTGATCTGAAATCCAAAGGAAACTCTGCAAAATACACGTAACGTTTACTGGTTGTACGGAAACTGAAATTAGATGTCAGGGATTAGATAAACTTGTTATTATATTCTAATACGCGTTGTTTACATGGCATTTCTATTTAAAAACCACAGTTTAATATAATTTGGGTTATAAAGTGCCAACCTGTTGAACTCGGAGAAGACATAAAGCGACGCGGCGCTGTCCCTGCTGCCAGCACCGACCACCTGCACGTACACGGTGGACGGACCGTGAACGTCCCCTCGCTTGTTGCGGCTCTCCTTGGTCTTCACCCGGCGCAGCGGCTCTTTCTGCTTCTTCTGTGGCCTCTTCGATGGAAACTCATTTTCAAGGGTCGCCATTGACCGGTGGAAGTAGAAAACAGTCCTGCGGAAAGTAGAATCTAAACGTGGAACCGTTACAGCAGCAGACAGGGCTCTGCCTTTCACAACCAGCTGCATACAGAGCCTCACATGGACACTAATCATGCTAAATACGGCAGCCGCTAATTAAAACGCCTGATACAGGTGGTGGTTAACGTCCACGAGATCTTGGTTAAAAGTCTTTAGACATTTCTGAACTGTTTTGATATCTTTATTACCCAAAAATGACTTTAAGCTTCTTCCATGGAACATTAGAGGTTGGTTAACACACGCGACCTTTCTTCCGGGATGCAGCCTTCAACGTCATCCAAAAGGTCCCAGTTCTTAACGCTGATTGGTTCTCTGAAACTATTGCTAAGTCTACAGACCAATCAAAGCGAGACTCAGCGCATGGAGGCGGGAGCAGCACTTGTTTCCGAGAGAGAGGTTACCGTCAACAAATGATCACTAAATAAAACACTAATTATTTCACGATATCTCCTGTCCTTACTGAAATCATGTTAAGCATTAAGAACGTTTTTTTAAATAATAAAAATGTCAAGATATGAAATATAATTACTGAAATACAAAAAATTAAATTTTAGAAAATATAAAAATGTGTTTTTAATTTAAAATGTCGGGTGTTGAATTGTTTTCATGAACAGACCTAAACATAGACTAAAAATAACAAATTTAAAACATAAATTAACCCTAAAAGATTTAATTAAATGCGTTTTTTTATAAGTTTTTTTTTAACAGTGCAACTGTAGTTGTGTGTGCATTTGGGTCAGTAAAGACCCAATAAATGTTGTTAGGAAACATTTTGGACAACACTTAACATTTAAAAGACATAGTTTGTGAAGCATTTCAGTTGTGATCAACTCTTTACATGAATGCTGAACTTCTCGGGAGCCACACTGTAGTCCATTTTTTATAAATCCATTACACACTTTATTCTAATCAATGTTTTAAAACTGGTTGGTTATTGGTAAGATTGTTTGTCCTATGCATCATGGTGGAATGAGAAGGTGTCCACTGTGTAACATCCCAAGTTCCAAAAACTTATTTCAGGGAGATGCCCCTATGAAAACATGCTGCCCCCCTCCTGGCAGCCTGGTAAATTTGGTCTAGGTCCGCCACTGTTCATCACCTTCACTAGACGTGGATATACTTTAGCATATTCTGCTGTAAAATTAGTCCTGTATTTCCATTTTTTAACTCTAGGATTAAACCTCTGCCGTTTCACAAGATGCACAGCTTTGAGTGGTAACTAGGTGACTGCCGGAGAGTAAACCAGAGAAATTTATCGGACTGATCCAATCAGCTCTCTGACAACCAGCCGCCTGGAACGATGGTTGAACAGAGCATTGCTTTGGATAGATACGCTGCACAGGTATAGCTAGTATATGGAGGGACTGATGGTTTTCACTCTTCCCTAGTTTCTTTATAGTTGATATCATTTAAATTTGTGATCCAAATTTTCTCCTAGTATTTTTTTTTTTAAGTTTGGGAAGAAGAGTTGTATACACTTAAGAATTGAAATGGTAAAGTATAAATTTTCAGTAATAAAGTGAGACGATTCTGAAAATCAGCTTTGTTTATTTGAAGTTGGTGCCAAATACAGTACAACCATCCCAAACATGCTACTATGGGGTCGTGTGTATGTGTGTGAAAGTGCAATACTGGTAAATGTTGGTTATCGGCCATAAAAGCAATATGGCAAATGGCATGTACTTAGATAGCGCCTTTATTCAAGTCACCCATTCACTCACACACTGATGGTGGCAAGCTACACTGCAGCCACAGCTGCCCTGGGGCTCACTGACAGAAGCGGGGTTCTCATACACTGGCGCCACCGGGCCCTCTGACCACCATCAGTAGACAATGCAGGTGAAGTGTCTTGCCCAAGGACACAACGACACTGAAAGTCTGAGTCGGGGCTCGAACCGTCAATCCTTCGATTTCAGGGCAAACTCCTACATCCAACGCCACTGTTGCAACAAATATATATGTATATATATATTTCAGATATCGGTATCGGCCCAAATTTTCATATCGGTGCATACCTTCAAGCTACTATTGAATAACACCTGGAACAGAAAATACATAGATAGTTCAGAGAGGAGGTTAGCAACATGATACTGCTTGAAACTGCATTCAGTTCACTTCATATTCCTGCCTTATGAGATGTACAGTGCATGTTTGTGTATTAAAAGGAGATTTTGCAGAATCTTGTTGTGTTGGTTAATGGCAAATTTGTATTAAGCATTTACATCATATGTTGAACCTCTTGCCTCCAGCAGTAGTTCTTATTGACGGTCTTGCTTTTGTTAAACATGTTTTTGACACCATTTTTGGATCAAATTATTTTTATGTTTGTGAATATAAAAATAAACTGTAAATGGCTGAGTAACCACATCATTTACATCTCTTGTGATTTATTCCCCTCTGCTTGGCTTTTACTGGTCTTTTAATTCTGCTGCTTAGCTCTCAATCAGAAGAACTTTGATCTCCAAACTGGTAAAATCTCTCTTTTTCGTCTACAATGCCCTTTCTGTGAGTGAACACCAACTGAGGAGCCCTGAAATTCAACGCCTTATATGGAATTATGGGCAGCGGTAATTATGTAGACTTGCAATTTTCATGAAGGCGCGCTCACTTATACTCTGGTGTAATGTTTTAAGTTTGCAGGGATTATTCATGATCATTGACTGAAGTTAAGAACAAGGGTTGAATCTGATGTGGTGCACCCACAGGAGCCCACAGTGGGAGAAAAAGTAACGAGAATTTACACCAAGAGTACAAGAATGATGTTGCATGGCATGAGGCCCAACATTTTTATTTTCATAATCCATCCATCCATCCATCCATCCATCCATCCATCCATCCATCCATCCATCCA